ATGGTAAAATCTATACATTCATCGCTCGATCCGCTCAAAATCTAAAACCGCTGAATCATTTGCTATAAAATTAATTCATACCTAATAATATAAGTTGATTTTTCATAATATTGCAAAATAAAAATACGAAAGGTATTTTATATTAAACTGAAAATAACACGAATCTACTGAAACATATATAACCATATGATATTACACGTCGTAGCTATCCAAAGCAACATTAGTGAAAGGGTGCTGACTAATTAATAATTATAATCATAATACAGATACACAATATTATTACATTATTACAGATTTAAAATAAAATATTGATACTGCCCGATATTCAAAATGAGTACGACCGTTGCTGCGGACCAGTATACATATTTAATAATTGGATATTAAAAATATTTGTTCATATTATATTATAACCATAATATAGTAATCGAATTTGATATAAATTACATAATACTAGATCGACCATTTTCAGAAATATCGTAGTATTGTACTTTGCCTTTTTTTACTGAAAATGTAAACCATAAATGCCTTTTGACTTAGCTAAACTCTCCCGAGATTATAACCTGACCTAAACGTCCAGTTATACCTATGTTTTTCTAGTGACTATTGAGTATTGGGCTCTTACATTTATTTATTATTTTGATGAATATTTAAACTTTTGATTCCCCAAAGTACTAACTAGATGAATTTTCCTTTTCAAAGAGGGGCTGAAGTTAAAATCTAAAGCATTATCCCTACTCCAAAACGTGATGACCGACACAAAAAAAACATACATCATTTTAAAATCAATACATGCCTCACTTCGTTCAAAATCTCATGTATTTAAATTTCTAGAGACTGAAACCGCACAATCGGACGAAAAATAAGACGTCCTCCGTCTCCTTGATCATCAGCACGACGACCTCAACGAACACACCAAGAGACTCTAGTGATTGCTGCACTCCAAGACTCTGCCGGTTTTTGGAAAGAATTTCAGATATTACCTTAAAAGTTTGTTGCGTAGCGCCGAATAAGTTGCGTGCAACCACTTGCAAAAGATTTGTTGAGTGAACAGTAGATGACGATCGGACTTATATACAAACAGACGGTAAAAAGAGGAAGACAGAGAGAAAAATCACTAAAATAGGTGTTGATAATAAATTGTAGGTTAACTTGCTGAATTACCCGTCGTTTCCGGGTTTGAGTATAAAAGTGTATGTAATATGGCCAGACTAAATATTGTTCATTCTATTTAAAAGAAATTTAATTGAGATTGTTGAAATAATTTAGAAATATTTAGAAACATTTTATAAATAATAGTTATTAAGACAATTGTTTTACTATCATCACGCAGAAAGCTATACTTGATAATTTTGAACAAGTTTAGAGGGGGAAAGAGTATTTACAGAATAAAATAGAAAAAGAAATAAACATAATTGTAAAACCAATACATTTCTCGTTCCACTTAAAATCTAAAAAAACTAGAAAAGTTGAAAAATTAAAATGTCAGTAAACAGCTCAATACTAATTAAATTATTTTGAAAATTTTATCAAATATAGAAACTGCCTATTTAAATATTCAGTGGAAATTTCAAGTGACCGCAGGGTCATTTGTTTTAGAGTTACACAAAAATAAGAAAAGTGCTAAATGAGAAATCTAGTGAAAATCTATTGTTGTAAAAATTTAAATTTCAATCGCTCATAAAAAATTCTGTAAATTGTAGATTATTAACCATATTTCGTCAAATGTTGAAATATATAATGTTTAGTTATTTATTGTTAAATTTTTAACAAATAAAATTCATAATTATTAATAGTAAGAATTAACTTCTTGCTAAAATCATATATAATCTGTAATAATTATATGTTATCAATAAAATCTACGTAAGACTTTCATTCTACGGGAAGAAAACAAGGGGCGTTGTAAGTTCCACTACTATCCGCATGAATGAAATCCATACATCTCCTAAGAATATTCTAAGTGATGAACAAGCTTTGGG